CCCAGTTACTTGGGAGGCTGAGGCAGGGGAATCGCTTAAACTCAGGAGGCAGAGGTTGCAGTGAGCTCAGAGTATGCCATTGCACCCTAGCCTGGGCAACAGAGCAAGACTCCATCTAAAAAAAAAAAAAAAAGTCGGCCTGGCGCGGTGGCTCATGCCTGTAATCCAAGCACTTTGAAGGCTAAGGCGGGCAGATCACATGAGGTCGGGAGTGCAAGACCAGCCTGACCAACATGGTGAAACCCCGTGTATTAAAAAAAAAAAAAAAGTCAATCAATATTTATATATTGAATATCAACTCTGTGCTCAATAGCCTTCTGCTGTTCAGGGGATACAATGACAGAGCAGAGCACCAGCACCCTGTGTGTGTAGTTTAGGGAGAAATAACCTATGAGCTTAGATGGAGGCAGAAGAAAAACATGAAAGGCTCTGTAACCACAGGGTTAAGAAATCTTGAATAACTAACATTTGAGTTAAAAAAAAGTGCCAAGTGCGGTGGCTCAAGCCTGTAATCCCAGCACTTTGGGAGGCCGAGGCAGGTGGATCATGAGGTCAAGAGATCGAGACCATCCTGGTCAACATGGTGAAACCCCATCTCTACTAAAAATACAAAAAAATTAGCTGGGCATGGTGGCACGTGCCTGTAATCCCAGCTACTCAGGAGGCTGAGGCAGGAGAATTGCCTGAACCCAGGAGGCGCAGGTTGCGGTGAGCCGAGATCGCACCATTGCACTCCAGCCTGGGTAACAAGAGCGAAACTCTGTCTCAAAAAAAAAAAAAAAAAAAAAAGTAAGGGTTGAATTATAAACAGAGAATAGAAATAGAATTTGCTACCAAAGAAGGGGGCTCTTGATTAAAAATAATAATAATAATAATAATGAAGTGTCGGGTATGCCAGGGACCTGATTGAAAGTCCCACTTCAGCTTTAAACTTGGTAAAAGGTAGCTGTAAAGCATTCTCAAGTCCTTCCCTTGCCTCCTACACCCAGGGTTCAAGATGTGAAGGAAGAAAAGCCAGGGCATGTGCATCCTTGACAGACATCTGAAATGGATCATCATCTTGCTAGGAGTTGGAGGGTTTTTTCTCACCACCCCTCTGTCATCCCCTGAGCTGTAATTGCCAAAATGGACAGATTGTCACAAACCCAGCCTATGCAAGTATCTTACTGATGCTCATTTGCTGACTTTAATGAGTTCCAGAACCAATTTGTGATCTTGCAATCGCTCATGCCTATCACCAAAAGAAAGCACTGTAGGTCTAGTACAAGAGGTCAGCTCAGCCTAACTCAGCAGAGAGACATTGATATGAAAATGAATTCAAAGGAGCTCTTGTGGGCATTGTAAGGCCTCGCGGTTCTCTAATATCGTTAAACAGAAAAACATTAGGTGCTGGATGTTCTGATGTGCCAGTTCTCGTACGATACCTGTCTTGCAAACTATACTTGAGTATACTTTTGTTCTCTCTTCACATTTCACAGCTTCCTCTACTCTGCCTAAAAAGGAAAAGTCACATCTTTGAGCTGTTACAATAAAACTACTGGCAGCCTGTAAAGTGAGAACAGAGGCTTGCCTTAATTTATCGCACCACACAGATTTATTACACATCAGGGTAATAATAGCAATACCGTGACTTGCTGCCTGATAATCTCCCCGTTTGCTCCAGTAGGAGTGTGGTGGTGGGAGCTTGGAGGGCCCTGCAGACTCCCTGTATGGTGCTAAGCACTGCTAGGCACACTCTTGGCTCAGTGCCGTGAAATGATGTGGTACTACTGGGCCGTGCAGTGCCAAGCTGTGATGCAAAGCTGGTGAGGAGTTGTAGTATTAGGAGAGAAAATACTGGAAGCCATTTGCCAGGTCTGTATGAAAAGAGTGTTTCCACAGTTGCTATTTGCCAGGAGAATAAGCATTCTTCAGCTACCTTTTTCTCATAAAAGGTTCCTCATGCTCTGAGAATGAAGGCATTTTTTTTAAAAAGGTTCCTTGGCTGGGCGCGGTGGCTCACGCCTGTAATCCAAGCACTTTGGACGCCAAGGCGGGCAGATCACCTGAGGTCGGGAGCTCAAGACCAGCCTGACCAACATGGTGAAACCCCGTCTTTATAAAAATAAATAAATTAAATAAAATAAAAAAGTTTCTCAACCTGATATATGATGAGAACCCAGTTTTAGAACCATAGAGGTGAGGAATTCCGTCAGGGGGCATTTTACCTGTCTTTAGGTAACACCACACCTAAAAGAATCCAGGATCATAAAAGTTAAATTGATTTCAGAAAGAGTTTCTGAGAAACAGTTTGCAAAATTTAGGGTTAAAGATGATCACCCTTCAGGCCACGGGTGTCCTTCCATGCCAGCCTCACTTTTGAGCTGCTTCTCTGTCTTTTCTTATGGCTCCTGAGTCCTGGGGTGTCTGATCAGTCTTGGCTGCGTCTAGGGAAACTGCGCAGAGGCACTTGGGCACTCAGCTTGTCCCTGGTGACGACAGTGACATCCTCACAGAGGACAGCATCCATCAGAGGTGCCCTCCTGCTGCTCAGCTTGCTCTGGAAGCCTCTCATTAGAGTTTCTAATTTTTAAGATAATGGGAACTTAATGGGGATTATTTTGATTTCTCTTACCAGCCAACATTTTTGTAGCTGAAGCCCTGCTGCCCCCAGCTGCACTGCCTGAACAAATTGCGTCTGAGCAAGCGAAAGCTGTGGCCCGGGAGACTGCTGACATGACTTCAGAAAGGCACAGCCCGATCCTATTGCCTAATTTTCTTTGTTCTTAGGCCAAGACTTTGGCCTGTAACAGTGGTTGGATGTCTGACCTTTTGGGTGACCACTTTAGTTCCTCCTTTCTTCACCTACCAATTTCTAGAGAGAAACATCTTTAACAAATCATCAGTAAATCGGCCGGGTGTGGTGGCTCAAGCCTGTAATCCCAGCACTTTGGGAGGCAGAGGCGGGTGGATCACGAGGTCAACAGATCGAGACCATCCTGGTCAACATGGTGAAACCCCGTCTCTACTAAAAATGCTAAAAATCAGCTGGGCATGGTGGCACGTGCCTGTAGTCCCAGCTACTCAGGAGGCTGAGGCAGGAGAATTGCTTGAACCCAGGAGGCGGAGGTTGTGGTGAGCCGAGATCGCGCCATTGCACTCCAGCCTGGGTAACAAGAGCGAAACCCCGTCTCAAAAACAAACAAACAAACAAACAAACAAAAACAAATCATCAGTAAATCAATCCACGCATTCCAAGTATTTGAGAAGTGCAGGCTACTGCTGCCTCTTCCATACCATGCTTGATAAAAATGAAAAATTCAGTCCGCCCACAGTCTATCACCTGGTTGTTTTTAACCCAGAGATTCACTCTCTGAATACAGTATCAAGATCAAAATGATTGGAAAATTACGTATGCTTAACCTCTCAGAGGAATCAGGTGACCTCAATAAAGTTTTCTTGAGATGATTAGGCCTAGGGATCCAAAGACATTGTCCCTGTCCTCTCCAAAAGCTTTGGTTTTCTTCCCGATAAACATACGTGTATTTATTTGGTTTTTGCATTGGCAAGCAGCAGTCGGTCAGGTAAATTGGCCCTTGGGAAATTTTATCCTGCCAAAATGATTCACAAGCCACAAAAATGTGAAACTACCATCCTTAGAACACCAGCCGTGCCCTACACCTCACAGGATAGGCTGGGATTGGGTCTCCTCTTCCTCTGTTGGCTGTTACCTCTTACAACTACTGGCAAATCCTGAATCTTGGAAACCACTTCAGTCCAGCAGTCACTAATTGCTCCCTGGCAAGAAACCATGTTGGTCTCCTGTCTGAGTTCAATGGAGAATTATCACTACTAACTTGAAGCTCTGGCAGTAGATCTTCCTCTTCCAAATGACCCCAAAGCAGTCTAACAGCAGGGAACCCAGTGAGGCAGAGTGGTAGCTGAGTCATATAAATGGAGATAAACATGGTCTCAAGTGCCCAGGCTTCAAAGCACATTGCTGATTACTCTTGATGGAGGGCTCACAACTGTTTTAATCGTGTAATTATTCCAAGGATAAATTTATAAGAAAGGGGATTCACTGGGTCAGGTGTGGTGGCTCACGCCTATAATCCCAGCACTCTGGGAGGCCGTGGCGGGTGGATCACGAGGTCAAAAGATTGAGACCAGCCGGGCGCGGTGGCTCAAGCCTGTAATCCCAGCACTTTGGGAGGCCAAGGCGGGTGGATCACGAGGTCGAGAGATTGAGACCATCCTGGTCAACATGGTGAAACCCGGTCTCTACCAAAAATACAAAAAATTAGCTGGGCATGGTGGTGTGTGCCTGTAATCCCAGCTACTCAGGAGGCTGAGGCAGGAGAATTGCCTGAACCCAGGAGGCGGAGGTTGCGGTGAGCCGAGATGGCGCCATTGCACTCCAGCCTGGCAACAAGAGCGAAACTCCGTCTCAAAAAAAAAAAAAAAAAAAAAAAAGATTGAGACCGTCTTGGTCAACATGGTGAAACCTCATCTCTACTAAAAGTACAAAAATTACCTGGGCATGGTGGCACACGCCTGTAGTCCCAGCTAGTCGGGAGAATTGCCTGAACCCAGGAGGCGGAGGTTGCGGTGAGCTGAGGTCGTGCCATTGCACTCCAGCCTGGGTAACAAGAGCGAAACTCCGTCTCAAAAAAAAAAAAAAAAGAAAAGAAAGGAGATTCACCTCCCAGCCATTTTCTTCAGGGTTGTTGTCAATAGATAGGCCCAAAAGGAAGAACAAGGAAAAGGGCACCAAAGAGGAGAAATGAAAATACAAGGTGAGAAGTGGGTAGAAACTGTAGCGCTGTAAACAAATCCAAGCCAAAATTGTCAGAGGTGGGGAACTGTTTTAAAAAATTATTTTGTATAACTCAATCAAGACAGTTGCAGGTGGGCAAAAAGAAAAAAAATTATTTTGATGACGATGACTTTTTTGTTTTGTTTTTGTATTTTAAGGACACAAGCTGAACTCTTGACATCCCGGCACTGGGAATTAAGTTAAAAAGCATGGCAGCGAGGGGATGCATTGAGCAGGTGAGAGTGAGGCAGAGGATTTAGTCCTGCAAGAAACAGTTGCCTGACTTTTAAGCGTACCTGTGTCACTGACAGCATTAAGGAGTGCACACAGTGTGCAAAAACTTGGCTTGTCAGCCCTCCTGATGCTGACAGATAGGGCAGCTTCACTGGGGAGCACTACACAAGCTCATTTGCTGCCTTCATCAGTCTGTAGGTGCTGACATTGCTGATAGAGTCACCACCGCAGCCACAGGGCCTCTTCTCACTTGCCCACTTCCTCCCATTCACGTCACTCATCTCATCAGAGACACCAAGGCCCGCTGGAGCCTGCTTTGCATCTCTTACATCAGAGGTTTGGGATGGCACATTGGAAATGATCTTTGCAAACTTTTTCTTTTGTACTCTTGAAGTTTAAGCAGAGAAGCAAAGAGTAAGTGGGCCAGGAGCAAAATGTCTGCATTTCTAAACTAAGTCTGAAAGGAAGCTCATCTGAAAATGTAGCTGGAGGCAAAGACAGCTTTCAGGGTTAAAGTTGGGCAGGATCTCACAGAGTTGCAATCCTGCAAATTTTATTTGTTTTGTTAAAAAGAGAAGGAAGTCTTTTTTTTTTTTTTTTTTAAAGCTAGATAGCATGGTAAGAAAAAGAATCTGAAAGATGTTCACCATTTTATTGTTATGATTATACTTTAAGTTCTGGGGTACATGTGCAGAACGTGCAGGTTTGTTACACGGGTATACACGTGCCATGGTGGTTTGCTGCATCCATCACCCTGTCATCTATGTTAGGTATTTCTCCTAATGCTATCCCTCCCCTAGCCCCCCACCCCCAGATAGGCCCCGGTGTGTGATGCTCCCCTCCCTGTGTCCATGTGTTCTCATTGCTCAACACCCATTTATGAGTGAGAACATGTGGGATGTTCACCATTTTTTAAACTGCAGTCATGAACATTTTAACTGGGAAAAGTAGGGGAGTGGGTTTTGTATTCCAACACAACTGTTCATGCCCCAAACTTGGGAAGGGAGAGAAGAAGGCATTTTACAAAGGAAAAAATGAAATATTTGTTACCTAAAATTTTCCACTTTGACAAAAATGAAAGTTCAATTTACAAGCTAAAGGAACATTCTATTGAATCTTCAGTGCACCTCAGAACATCCTACCAACGGCTTCAGCTCTGCCTAATTTTGACACCTTGCATCTCAGAGTCCCCAGTAAACTCTAATTAATTTCCACAGCATTCTGAAGTTGGTCAAGTCTTTCAAATTATAGTGAGGACAGGTTGGGCAAGAGGTGGTAATTTTCCTTTGTTGTCATTACCCTTCCCACATGCTGGGCAACTGAAGCATGGAAGAACAGAGGTAAGATGTTGGCTTCAAGGTTCAGAACCAAATCTGTGGCGTTCCAGGAACCAAACCTTGAACATTCAAGTCATCTCGGGGAAATGGCTTTTAGATTCAGCACTTGTACTTTCCAGGGTCAGCACTTGTATGTGTCAGTAGCTAAGTCTCTCATCCAAGGTCCCCAGGTCCTCAGCCTGGGCTTCATCTCAGGAAAGCCCTCTGGCAATTGAAGAGAATGGGGTAGGTGGGGAAGTAGGGTGAGGTCTCAGTGACTTTGATGGTTGGGTGCTTGAATGGAAATCTAAGAGGGGAAGAAGAAGGGCTCTGTGATTGTGAATTACTATAAGAAGAGATGATTGGCCGGGCACGGTAGCTCAAGCCTGTAATCCCAGCACTTTGGGAGGCCGAGGCGGGTGGATCACGAGGTCAAGAGATCGAGACCATCCTGGTCAACATGGTGAAACCCCGTCTCTACTAAAAAATACAAAAAATTAGCTGGGCATGGTGGCGCGTGCCTGTAATCCCAGCTACTCAGGAGGCTGAGGCAGGAGAATTGCCTGAACCAAGGAGGCGGAGGTTGCGGTGAGCCGAGATGGGGCCATTGCACTCCAGCCTGGGTAACAAGAGCGAAACTCCGTCTCAAAAAAAAAAAAAAAAAAAAAAAAAAAAGAAGAGATGATTGGATTGGAAAGAGCTAGCAGGACTTACACTGCATCCTCCCTTGATAATCACAGTGCCTTGGCTAGGCCTGATCACACACTTGGGTATTAGGTATATTCCCTCAACGTTGGAAAGAGGCATAACGTGTAGCTACTGGGGTACATTTTCCTGAGGTCTTATTTGTATCCACCTTTAATAGAAATAAATAGGACACTTATTTCTAGGTTGATCAAAATGGTCTTAGAGTAGCTACATAACTCTGTGTCAGCTGGACTTTATTTTTTTTAAGTGGCAGAAGAGAAGCATGAGCAATGCTCAGTAGGTAGGAAAGGTTAGAGCAGGAGATGTTTGTTCTCTCCCATCTTCTTCATGATCTCTTGCCTCGCAAAAGTGGGAGGAACGTAACCAGCACGCATCTGATGAATGTCCTGCCCCAGAGAGTCATCTAACTCTGTGTCTCAGCAGGAAGAGGGGAAAGAGGAAGAGAAACTGACATTTAACGAGTGCCAACTCTATATTGGTCACTATCTAGAAATAGTTGAATGCAATCCTCCTTTACAAGTCCCTACTTTGTAGATATTATTATCCCCATTTTAAAAAATAACTTTATTAGGCTCTTGCAATTAGGAAACCATAATACCAAAATTTAAAAGCCAGAGCTTCCTGACTCCAAAATCCTCTTTCTTTTCGGTTATCCTGTTGAAATGCCCATTTCAAATGAAGACTGACTTGATCCTGAACATAACCTGCAAGAAGAAAGGGACCACAGGTGGGTACTGTCTTCCTACTCAACGTGGTTATTAGAACACCCTCAGTGACCGAAAGGGTCAGGATGTCAAAGGGTTGTTTGCAACTGCTGTTTGGCGAAAGGATCTAATTCACTGAATGAACACATTTCTTTCCAGGGTGTGGGATGCAGGTCCTGGTGAAGGATCATGGACTGTGGAGGAACAAACCCTGTGGTTTGTTGGTTGAAAATTCAATTAAAGTTTACCCTGAATCACTAGTCAATAAAGTTACACATGCCTTACACTAGATGGATCTTGGAAATCATATTACTCTTACCCTTGTTATAAAAATAATAATAGCCACATTTATTGAGGGCTTATTATGTGCCAGGAGCTGTTAGGCTTTATATGTGTCATTTACCCCTACAACGATCCTATGAGGAAGATATTATTATTTTCTCTTTTTCACAGATGAAAGGCATAAAGAGGTTAAGATACTTTCCAAGGTTACACAGGAGGGAAATGGCAGAACTGGGATTTGAACTTTCAACCCTGAGCATCTCTCAGCCATACTTCCTGCTACCAGTCATCAAGGAAGATGGTACATAGATAGGAAGGGTGAGTTTTGTCTTGGGTAGTTGTTTGTCTCTCTCTCTCTCTCTCTCTCTCTCTCTCTCTTTTTTTTTTCTGAGACAGTCTCTGTTGCCCAGGCTAGAGTGCAGTGGCGCGATCTCGGCTCACTGCAACCTCTGCCTCCCGGGTTCAATTGATTCTTCTGCCTCAGCCTCTGGAGTAGCTGGGGCTACAGGTGCACGCCACCATGCCCAGCTAATTTTTGTATTTTTAGTAGAGACGGTATTTCACCATATTGGCCAGGCTGGTCTCGAACTCCTGATCTTGTGATCCGCCTGCCTCGGCCTCCCAAAGTGCTGGGATTACAGGCGTGAGTCACCACATCCAGCCTTGGGTGGTTGTTCTCTACTTGGGGAAGGAGATATTTTCCTCCTTTTCCATTTCTGGAGTAATAGCAACTTTTTCCCACAGAAAGCACTGAATCCCTTTATTCACATGTTAACCTGCTAGATAAAGTCCATTCACAAAAATCTCTTAGCCCTCCTTAGTCATTACATAGCTCTGTTCCTCCCTTTCCTTCTCCTCAGCCGGTCTCTGGCATCTTCTTCTTGTGTTAGGAGCAAGGGGTGATTTTAGACAGAATCTTTTTTCTCAGGAGTGGGTTACCACTCTCTGGTATGGTCATTGTCCCGGACACCCACAGGTATTAGAGAGTGGTTGAATACAGAAAAATCCCATTGTGCGGGCGCGGTGGCTCAAGCCTGTAATCCCAGCACTTTGGGAGGCCGAGGCGGGTGGATCACAAGGTCCAGAGATCGAGACCATCCTGGTCAACATGGTGAAACCCCGTCTCTACCAAAAATACAAAAAATTAGCTGGGCATGGTGGCATGTGCCTGTAATCCCAGTTACTCAGGAGGCTGAGGCAGGAGAATTGCCTGAACCCAGGAGGCGGAGGTTGCGGTAAGCAGAGATCGTGCCATTGCACTCCAGCCTGGGTAACAAGAGCGAAACTCCCTCTCATTAAAAAAAAAAAAAAAAAAAAAAAATCCCATTGTGATCACAGGCCTCACCAAAGAGAAGCATATGGTTTACTCACACTGAACATTGCCATCGAGGTTAATGAACGTGTTCTTATATGGTCTAAATATAAATATGTGGACTTCATTGAGGAGAGACCCGGCCCTCAAGAAAGGTCTTGGAGATCCCACCCTCTGCTGTTATGAGAGGGGAGTAAACCAGATGCAGCAACCTCAGCTTCTGATTTTGACTGCTGAAACTCACATCTGCCTAACCTTCTTGTGTAAACAGGGTTGCAAAATTACTCACTCCACTCAGATGCGTAAAGAATGTATAGTTTCTTTTTTCTCTAAGTCACCCTGATCTCCCTTATGAGTTCTCACCTGCTGGGTAGCAAGAGATAAAAGAACTAATTTTAGCTCAATGGATTTTAAAACTAGTCTGATGCGGCCGGGCGCGATGGCTCAAGCCTGTAATCCCAGCACTTTGGGAGGCCGAGGCGGGTGGATCACGAGGTCAAGAGATCAAGGCCATCCTGGTCAACATAGTGAAACCCCGTCTCTACTAAAATACAAAAATTAGCTGGGCATGGTGGTGCGTGCCTGTAATCCCAGCTACTCAGGAGGCTGAGGCAGAAGAATTGCCTGAACCCAGGAGGCGGAGGTTGCAGTGAGCCAAGATCGTGCCATTGCACTCCAGCCTGGGTAACAAGAGCGAAACTCCCTCTCAAAAAAAAAAAAAAAAAAAAAGTCTGATGCAATTATTTAAGCAGTTTCTTTAGGCTTAACTTTGTAACTTTGGGACAAAGCAGTCTTTCGCATTCCTTGCTTCTTATGGTTTCTTGTCCATAAATGGCACCAATGGTTCTCAGACCAGGTCCCCTGGTGCCGTCCCCACACCGCCCTGCCCTCTTAAACATGCTGGTATGGGGTCATCTACACAGCAGTGTCCTAACACGGAACTTCAAGGGGAATGGGGAAAGAGGTCTCCTGCCCTTGATGTTCTCTGATGGATTTCATTCTTCAGGCAGAATGCTGGAGAGGGGAGGCTAGAAAAGAAGCAGCTGGGCGCGGTGGCTCAAGCCTGTAATCCCAGCACTTTGGGAGGCCGAGGCGGGTGGATCACGAGGTCGAGAGATTGAGACCATCCTGGTCAACATGGTGAAACCCCGTCTCTACTAAAAATGCAAAAAACTAGCTGGGCATGGTGGCGCGTGCCTGTAATCCCAGCTACTCAGGAGGCTGAGGCAGGAGAATTGCCTGAGCCCAGGAGGCGGAGGTTGCGGTGAGCTGAGATCGCGCCATTGCACTCCAGCCTGGGTAACAAGAGCGAAACTCCGTCTCAAAAAAAGAAAAGAAAAGAAAAGAAAACAAGCAGCCTCGCTGTCTGGCATGTGGCCACTCCCTAACTCTCCTAGCGCTGGCTAGAAGAGGAGGCTTGCTAGGCTCTATCACAGGCAGAGGAACATCCTTTTACACTTAAGGGAAACTCTAAAATCAGAGACTCAGTTCTTGAACTTCTAGAGATTGTAGAATATCTAGTTTGTTTTTCAGGCTGTTGTGATGAACAGTCCTGACCTGCCAAGGCATTGGGCCAAGCAAGGCCTCTGCAATGGGAGCTGAGAGAAGAGGGGTTTAGAGAGGAATGGAAATACTGTGTGTGGTATGGTAAAATATATATTTGGTCTTTGTGCCAGTGTGTTGTTGTGTTGCTACAAATACCTGAGGCTGAGTAATTTATTTTTTATTTTTTTTATTTTTTGAGATGGAGTTTCGCTCGTTACCCAGGCTGGAGTGCAATGGCGCCATCTCGGCTCACCGCAACCTCCGCCTCCTGGGTTCAATCAATTCTCCTGCCTCAGCCTCCTGAGTAGCTGGGATTACAGGCACGTGCCACCATGCCCAGCTAAATTTTTTTTGTATTTTTAGTAGAGACGGGGTTTCACCATGTTGACCAGGTTGGTCTCGATCTCTTGACCTCGTGATCCACCCGCCTCAGCCTCCCAAAGTGCTGGGATTACAGGCTTGAGCCACCGCGCCCGGCTGAGTAATTTATTTTAAAAAGATGTTTTATTTTGGCTCATGGTTCTGCAGCCTGTACACAAAGCATGGTGCCGGCGGCATCTGCTTCTGGTGAGGGCCTCAGGAAGCTTCCAATCATGATGAAGGTGAAAAGGAAGCCAGTGCATCACATGACAAAACAGGGAGCAAGAGGGAAGGGAGCAGTGCCACACACTTTTAAACAACCTCATCTCATGAGACAGAACTGAGCGAGAGTTCACTCATCACCAAGGGAATGGTGCTAAGTCATTCTTGAGGGATCTGCCCCCGTGATCCAATCACCTTCCACGAGACCCCACCTCCAACACTGGGGATTACATTTCATCATGAGATCTGGAGGGGACAAACATACAAACAATACCAGTCTTCAACCCCTCCCTCTTCCTGGCATACAACTCCTAAAACTCTTAGAATCTCTAAAGTGCTGTCTTTTTATATGTTAATGAATTGGCTAGTGGCTCAGAGCCCCTAGGTAGCTTCAGGATGGGGGCTGGTCACTAGAAAGACCAAGTCATAATCAGAGGGTTGGGATTTTCATCTCACCCTCAACCTCTGGGAAGGAGAGAGGGGTTGAAGCTCAAGTTGATCAACAATGACCAGTGTTTTAATTATATCATGCCTATGTAATGAAGCATCCATAAAAACACAAAAGGATAGGGTGCAGAGAGCCTTTGGATAGCTGAACGTGTGGAGGCTCCTAGAGAATGACATGTCCAGAGGGCATGGAAGCTCTGTGCCCCTTCTTCGCCCTATGCATCTTATCATCTGTATGCTTGGTAATATCCTTTATAATATACCACTTAAGCTTAAGTGCTATCTCTGAGTTACTTGAGCCACTCTAGCAAATCAATGGAACTCAAAGAGAGAATTGTGAGAATTCCAACTTGAAGCCAGTTGGTTGGAAGTTCTGGAGGCCCAGACTTGTGACTAGTAGGAATTAGAGGCAGCTTTGTGAGGCTGAGCCCTCAACCTGTAGTTTCTTTTTTTTTTTTTTTTCTTTTTGAGACGGAGTTTCACTCTTGTTACTCCGGCTGGAGTGCAATGGCGCGATCTCGGCTCACCGCAACCTCCGCCTCCTGGGTTCAGGCAATTCTCCTGCCTCAGCCTCCTGAGTAGCTGGGATTACAGGCATGCACCACCATGCCCACCTAATTTTTTTGTATTTTTAGTAGAGACGGGGTTTCACCATGTTGACCAGGATGGTCTCGATCTCTTGACTTCGTGATCCACCCGCCTCGGCCTCCCAAAGTCCTGGGATTACAGGCTTGAGCCACCGCGCCCGGCCCAACCTGGGGTTTCTGATGCAATCCCCAGGTAGAAAGTGTTGGAATGGAATTGGAGGGAGCCCAGCTGGTATCCACTGCAGAACTGCTTGCTTGCTGGTGTGTGAGGAGAAACCCCCACACATTTGGTCACAGAAGTCTTCTGTGATGATTGTTGTGGTGTGAAAGCAGAGAAGAAACACAGTTTGAGTTTTTCCACTTTCACACTGTGTTTGCTGAACATTGCTCAGTGTAGGCTTTGGCTGGTCCGGGATATGTAATAGAATATGCTTAAAAGTGCTCCTCCACAGTTTTCAAGTCTGTGGGACACACACACACACACACACACACACACACACACACGCTCCTCAAAGGAGAGGTAGGATACTGAAATGCTTAAATATATGGAATCTGGATTCAGACTGGGCTCTGGTATTTCCTTGTGATATGAACAACTTTACTTACATGTAAACTCAGTTTCTTCATCCTTAAAATGGCATAATAACAGTATCTACCTCCTCAGATTGTTACAAAGTTTAAATCTGTTAACATACTTAAAAAAGACTTTTGCCTGTCTCATAGTAAGCACTCAGAAAATGTTAGCTATTTAAAAAAAAAAAAAAAAAAATGTTAGCTATTTAGATTCCAAACACATACAACATTAGATTATAAACCTTAGAAATATCTTACGTATGGTACAGGAGAAAGAAAAAGGATTTTCAAAATAGATTAAGTTCTTTAATCTTGAGCAAGTTGTACAGCCACTGTGAGCATTGTCTCAAAAAGGAAGATAATTACATTATAGTTGTGAGAATTAAATGAAATAACATATGTAAAACACTTAGCAAAGCGTGGCACCTGAGGCTCAACCTGTGTTTCTTCACTTTTTTCCTATGTCAGTAATATGCTGTCTTATAATTATTTACAATTATTTTCTCAACCAGAAGTCTTGAGCTTTTATAATCTCCAAACTGGCCAGCACATAGTAGAAACTCAGTCGAGTCAATAATGATTCAAATGAGCCTCCAAGTCTGGGGCATGAGACCTAGAATATCTGAGTGTTGCTGGTCAGAAGATAGTTCCCACCCCTCCACCAACAACTTCAGTTGTTCTAGGTGTCTATTTCTCCCCTTTCTTTATGAAAATTGTTCTGTGGTCTGTCGGAGGCATTTATGTCTGCTTTACTCACATTGCTCAACCCACACTTGGAGACAAATGTGTTTGCATAAATACTAGCAGATGAATTTTTTAAATATCGCTTTTTCTCTCCTGGCACTCTGTAAGAGAAACGAGCAAATATAAACAGAGGAGTAACACACTAGAAATATAGCAGATGGGCTTCTGCTGGGGATCTGGACTTGACTGGAGTCTACACATTTGGGATATGTAGGATTATGACAAAATCCACTTGTAATGCTCATGCTTTTTATTTCTTGGGCACAATATTAATTGAAGACTGGGCTTAATGCACACTTTCAGCTCCAGCTTTTCCTTTGAGAAACAAGCAGGATCCTATAAACACTCTATGTAGTAGGGATTGTCTTCCTAAGCCTAACATAAATCCAGTTTGATTGAGGAATCAAGGAGAAGAAGGAAAAAGAAAGTTTTCTTCCCTCCACACTGTAAGGACAGGGGAAAAAGGGAAACTCTTCACTCCTTATTTCAGATGGCTTCATACTTATGACCAAGGGTTTATTATTGATATTAAAACATGGGAAGTGACTAGACACACTCCTGACATATCTTGATTTAGGCCAACTCAATTCAGACCACACATCTTGAGAAATACATTTATATGAAGGGTGTTGACCATGAGCCATCCTTAACTCCAGCCCACATTTTTGGCCTGGATATTACTTTCATTTATTTATTCATTCAACAAACTTTGTTGAGCATCTATGCTATCCACTGAATGTTTATGTCCCCCAACCCCAAATTAATACATTGAAAGCTAATCCTGAATGTGATGATATTTAGAGGTGAGGCAGCCCTTATGAGTGGAATTAGTGCTATTATAAAAGGGACTCCGGTGAGCTGCCTCTCTCCTTCCACTATGTGAGGACACAGTGAGAAGACTGCCATCTATGAACCAAAAAGCAGGCCCTCAACAGCCACCACATCTCTCAGCACTACAGATTTTGGACTTCCCAGCCTCTGGAACTATGAGAAAAAAATTTCTGATGTTTATAAGCCACCCACACGATGGCATTCTCTTTTTTTTTTTTTTTTTGAGACGGAGTTTCGCTCTTGTTACCCAGGCTAGAGTGCAATGGCGCGATCTCGGCTCACCGCAACCTCCGCCTCCTGGATTCAGGCAATTCTCCTGCCTCAGCCTCCTCAGTAGCTGGGATTACAGGCACGCACCACCACGCCCAGCTAATTTTTTGTATTTTCAGTAGAGACGGGGTTTCACCATATTGACCAGGATGGTCTCGATCTCTTGACCTCGTGATCCACCCGCCTCGGCCTCCCAAAGTGCTGGGATTACAGGCTTGAGCCACCGCGCCCGGCCGGCATTCTCTTATAGCAGCTCAAATGGACCACGATCATATGCTGTGGACCAAGTGCTGTACAAGGAATGGGATTATGGCAATGAAGAAGACACACAAGGTCCCTGATGTTATAAAACTCAAATCTAGTGGGAAAACAGCTTCTTTTTTTTTTTAAGACAGGTTTTCGCCATGTTGGTCAGGCTGGTCTTAAACTCCCGACCTCAGGTGATCCGCCTGCCTTGGCCTCCAAAGTGCTTGGATTACAGGCGTGAGCCACCACGCCTGGCCGTGTGAAAACAGATTCTTAAGTTACGATTTAATGATTCCTTCAAAAAATGCACCCAAAGCAATAGTTTCCATTTCCATCAACCATAAGATGTCCCAAGGACTGGCTCAGGAAAAACTGGGAGGTGGAAGCTGTCCTGTGGCCTCCTTGCTATCAGAGCCTCTGCAGGGCCTTTCAGAACTCCATAGAAGAGTTTCTCATCCATAATTGACCTGGCTGACCCCAGTAGTCATGTTTTTTTTTTTTTTTTTTTTTTTTTTTAAAGGGCCCCTCGAAGGAATGCTATAAATGATCCTTCTTACCCATAATGGTGACGCCTAGATCTCAGAGAAAGCCCTGCCTTTGATCAATAAGCATTAACTCTTTTTTTTTAATTGCAAGTATGTTTATCTGTTAGGTTTAACAAGGGAGGCAGCATAATGTAGAGCAAAGATCACAAACTTTGAGGTCTGCCTTATGTTATAATGTCGGCTCAAACATTTATTAGCAAGTCCCCTTGGCGAGTTATTCTACTTTTCTGTTGTTTAACTGTCCCGTGTGCAAACTGGAGAAAAGAGCACTTAACTCTGAATTGTTGAGATTTTTAAATGAAATAATCACTTAGAAGTGCTTAGTATGGAGCACATGCTCCTTTCCTATGTGCAGGAACTACATTTTCTATGAAACAGGACTTGCCCTTGAAAGAAAACAGCATTGGGCCGGGCGCGGTGGCTCAAGCCTGTAATCCCAGCACTTAGGGAGGCCGAGACGGGTGGATCACGAGGTCAAGAGATCGAGACCATCCCGGTCAACATAGTGAAACCCCGTCTCTACTAAAAATACAAAAAATTAGCTGGGCATGGTGGCACGTGCCTGTAATCCCAGCTACTCAGGAGGCTGAGGCAGGAGAATTGCCTGAACCCAGGAGGCAGAGGTTGTGGTGAGCCGAGATCGCGCCATTGCACTCCACCCTGGGTAACAAGAGCGAAACTCTGTCTCAAAAAAAAAAAAAAAAAAAGAAAGAAAACAGCATTTATATGAAATATTTAATGATAATCATACAACTTTGAGTTATTTGGCAAATGACAGATTATATCCATAGCCAACTCGCCCATCCCGACTAGTGCCATCTCTCTGCTTTTGCTGCCCTAACTGCGGCTCTCAACACACCTCTCCAGCAGGTAACCGAACCTGGGAAGCCCCAAATAAAGACGTCAGGATGCTCCAGTAAGAAATGAGAATAGCCAGGCGTGGTGGCTCAGCCTGTAATCCCAGCACTTTGGGAGGCCGAGGCGGATGGATCACGAGGTCAAGAGATCGAGACCATCCTGGTCAACATGGTGAAACCCCATCTCTACGAAAAATACAAAAAATTAGTTGGGCATGGTTGCGCGTGCCTGTA